CATCAATTTTTATATTTGAAAAACTTGCTCCAATTGGTAGTCCTCGTTCTTAGATATATTGAGAAATAGATGTTGATATATTTATGCATTTATATACTTTCTATCCAAATGCATATAAATTTAATAATCTTTGGGGATATGAGTTTTATCACATCTCTAATTCTAGCTATGGCTAAAGAGCGAAAAGAAGGAAATACCCCCATCTTCTGTTAACTAAGGGGACATACAAGCATGGTACTAGAGGCTCAAAATTCTACCCAAAAATAAAACTCCTAAGTGGCAATTGATGATATCACAGTACTTCTATTTTCCTGATAATGATACTGACAGATAATTAAAGTAACTTCATTCTGCCTCTATTTTTCAATCAGCAAAACTGAAATAATTTGCATCAATTGTAGTGAGTAAAGGAACGCTTATGGTTTTGCATCAGTAAAGCTAAGCCAATACTAGCATTTTGTTACTGTCCCTCCACTACATTTGAAGTAATTATTTCCACACCGTTATACATACCGCAATAATGAGCCCACTAGGTCCATTTATGTTATCAACCCAACCCTAAAAAGAGAAAAGGGAAAAGATCTCTAGTTGGTTCCACATGTCAGAAAATCACAGTACCTTTGGAATAGCTGCAGTCTAACCTTAAACTTCAAACAAGAACACAGACTCCAGCTGATAAACTGTCTAGTCCACTACTTCCAAAATTACAAACAGAGATCAATGAGAAAGCACTGGATATTTTCTGCACTTGGTTTGTGGAAGAATTAAAATTCTGCTGGCATTTATTTCCTAGCAGGAGTCAAGAATAGTTGCAAGCTGTCTATGACATCTTAGGAGCTAAATTGGCTCTCATCTTAATATCATAATCTGCTAATCAATTCATTTTCCTCACCTGGGCCTGATTTTAACTTCTCAGGGGAACATTTCAAACATAGTTTGCAGAAAATTGACTCTTACTTGACAGCTATAAGAGTCATAGCATCTTTCATTCATTCTATCTCAAGATCAACTTGTATTAGCTTGCTGTAGATGATAGAGAAAATATTATCTTTAGGAGCAGTTAGAGAAAAATGTCTTTATGAGTTTGTCTCCTAAGCCCAGAGCAAGCCAGTTGACCTCATTATGTCTGTTTATCTTTGAAAGTCAAAATGTATAAGATGGGAGAGGAGAGAGAACTTGAAGGGATTATTAGTTGAGCCTTTTACTAGGGACCAGGCACTGCAGTAGACATACCACTACACTGCCTCCTCTCATCAACCCTCCACAATGGGTATGGTTAGCCCAGTTGTACATATGAGACAACTCATATATAAAAGGCTGCATGTCAATAAGTAATGGAGCTTGGATTTATCTGGTGCAAAAGCTTTACAGAATTGCTTCAAAAAAGATGGTATAATTCAAAGTACTTTCAAAAAGATATAGAAGTATACACAGATTAAAATCATTATTCCTAAACTGAGGACTTTCTCTGAGCTTTGCAATTCCTATTTACCCTGGCAATTTGTTAACATTATCAATTTGGCCAGCAGGAATATTCTGGTATATTTAAACTATTGTGGAGAAGCCAAGAAATAAAGCTATTTCCCATGGGAATTTTGAGACTAGAGTTAATGAAAAACTAACTGAAGACTCCACCCAACTCTAGGACAGTCAGTGTAACATCAGAGGAGCCCGGTGGTGAGTAAATCCTGAACCAACCGTGCACTTTGGTCCTCACATTTGCTGTACTCAGCTATATATACTTGGGAAAAAAAGACATCAGAGAGTAGTTGGACAGGAGGGATGCTGGTTCAGAAGCAAAGCGTGGAATCCAGGCAAGTGGGCTTACTGGGAAGGGCTCCTGCCAGGTTGCTCCCACGATGGAGGGCCGTACGATGGCAATGTTGAGGTCGCCACCTTCCTGCTGCACCACCACCTCTCCCAAGGCCTTGGTATAGGTGTACGTGTTAGGCTGATCTCCGATCAGTTTGGGTGTGATCTCATCAATAATAGCATCGTCTAACCACCTGAAGGTAGTCAGAGTGAAAAAGAACGTTGTCAGCATGTGTTAGACAACATACCAAAAAGAAACTGTGAGACACCGACAAACAGAACTTCCCCGTTCTAACTTGAGTTCTGAAATTGGGAACTGAGAAAGGATACCAAGGCTTGAGTGTGAACCTATCCAAATGATGCAAGATGGATGAGATCTTTGCTCTCCACTGCTTAGCCCAACATTACTAGTTGAATCCTATGGCCTTCTGTCTCAATAGATTTATCCAATTGTTATGCAGTCTGCTACTTGATTGTGTGTGTGTGTGTGTGCATGCACACGCTAAGTCACTTCAGCCATGTCCAACTCTTTGTGACCCCATGGACTGCAGCACACTAGGCTCCTCTGTCCATGGGATTCTCCAGACAAGAATACTGGACTGGGTTGCCATACCCTCCTCCAGGGGATCTTCCCGACCCAGGGATGGAATCTGTGTCTCATGTCTCCTGCATTGACAGGTGGGTTCTTTACCACTAGTGTCACCTGGGAAGCTCCCTGCTACTTGATTACATAGAGCTAATCTCTATTTTCAATTATAGCCTCTCAGAGGGAATATACCTATCAAGGTACATTCAATGAATGCATTGTGAGTGCCAGTTGGGTGTCCAACAGTGGGCTGGCTGCCCTGGTCATGGACTTGAGAGGCTGTCATCCGAAGTGTCAGCGGCAGCCCCTCTCATTCATTATTGTCCACTTAGAACCTTGGCATTAATCTTGAAAGCTTCAGCTTTGATTTTTGTTTTAAATTCTACTTAATGCCTTAACAAAGAAAGGCAACTACATTTATCAGAACTTACAATCTGTTTTAGCAAATCCAGGCACTGTGTTTTGAAGATCTGTTTAGAGTCTATGCTAATAACTTGGTAATCATTTCCAGAGATTTCCAATGAGTTCTAAAGTGCTCTAATAACTATTAATAGTCTGTCAAGTGGGGTGAGAATAGCACAATGAAGTAACTTTAATATAATGACTATTGAATACCTCTACCTTCAAGATCTGTATCATGAATAACTGAGTTACCATGGCAACAATCTATTTTTTTTAAAAAAGATGTTAAAACCATTTTGATAATCCCAGAGTCTACCTGCTTTTCTCTAAGAAAGCAATGAAATTATTATTGATTAAATATTGAATGTTTCTCTTAGCTGCTAGATCTATTTGGTAAAACTTTGGATATAATACAGTTTTTAAAAATTAGATGACATGTCAGTGTGATTTTCTAATTCATGTGTTTGGTATATTTATTCCCATTTTATTGGACCCAACACAATCATACTATTTTGATTACAGAAAAATCTTATTAGAGGTTATTGTTTTCCTCTCATGACAAATTATTGAGTATTTAAGAAGTGCTTAACGCCAAGACATTCAGAAATACAACTCTCAATTTCCGTATTGGAGAGGAATGTGAATACTGTCTGTTATGGTCTAGTTTTCCTTGCTTTGTGGCTATTAGTGCTGAATATCTTCTAGCTATCAAATACCTTCTGGTTTATACTGAAAAGAGAAAGGTTGAGAAGGTCTGAGAATTAAAAACAACTCCAAATACTTAGAAAAACAGAAGTTATTTCAATCATGTGGTCACTGAGTGTTGGGAGAGAGTGAGGGATAATCTAGGCACCTCTCTATTTTTTCTAATAATGTTACCTTTACCTCATCTTATTTGTGGGTCATCAGTGGATTAACTGACCTAAGACCATTTTTCTTTTCACCTACAAAAGCATACAGGTTACAAAAACTAGGTCTGAAGAAATACAGCCCAGTTTTAACAAAGCTGTGAAGAAAACAAGTTTAAGAAAGCATCAGAAGCCAGCAATACCCTCGGATCGTATGTCCCATGGCTGGTACCATGTGCTGTCACTGCTGTTGGTGTGCATGAAAAAGGTAACACCTGGAGGCTTCTCCAAGTTTGGTGAGTTAGCTCATCTTAGAAAATACTGGTTTCTAGGTTTCTAAGAACACAAAGCAAAAGAAGTTGCAGTGCTCTGTAGATGGTCTGCCTTTACTCTTTGTAGCTCCGCCGTATTCTACTGTATCATTTTCTCATTTCCTCCTCTGGCACTTGTGAAAAATAGCAATAATTGTATGTGTTCTAAATTTTCAGGTTATGAGGACAAACAGGAACATTCACAACTACACTTATAACTATTTGATTAAACAAAATGAGCTAACACATCCAACACATATTTAGTAAAACCGCCAAGAAGCATGTATCTAGAAAGCTCACAGTTGGTTTTAAAATATCTTTTCTAATACAGCCAAACAGATCATATCTCATCCTGCCATTTCTTGGGTTCAAAGAGATTAATATAACATTCATTGGTTAAGTGATGCCCTTTTTAGGACCTAAGATTGGTTCATGTTTTCCTGTATCAAAATTTGATTTGGAGCTGTTGCTTGTCTTTAAACTAGTAAATAAATTAGCATGAAAAAAGGACACCATATAAACCAAAACACATTTCTGAAACTAAGTCAAAGCACTTCAGCATACTCAAGGATATATCTGAACTCATGGGCTCCAAATTCTAAACTTCTACTTAAATCACTTTAAAAGAAGCAAAAAGTCACACACACACACACACACACACACACACACACACACACACACAACACAGACAATTTCCTCTAAATATTACTATCTTTTTTCCCTCAATTTTCTTATGCAGCAAACAGGGCCAGCCTAGTAGTGTATCAGGAAAGCTTTCTGGAGAGTAAGTACTGGACATCCTGCCTCAAGGTAACCTTTGCTGTCTTTTCTCTGACCTGGAATATGTTTGTCCCTTGATTACAATTATCATGCTATATGTTCTTGCTTGGGCTTCCCAGGGTAGAGTCCACCTGCCAAAGCAAGAAACGAGGATTCAATTTCTCGGTGGGGAAGATTCCCTGGAGAAGAAAATAGCAGCCCACTCCAGTATTCTTGCCTCGAAAATTCCATGGACAGAGGAACCTGTACATTCCATAGGGTCACAAAGAGTTGGACATAACTGAGCAACTGAACACAAAAGTTCTTGCTCATGTCTGTTTCCCCACTTTACAATGAGTCTAGGAATGCAAGGATTATATTTTTCTTAATCTCCATGTCCAATCACCTTACTCTGTCCAGGAACCAGCTAAATGTGCGCTCTTTTATAGGACAGTCATGATTGGCCAGTTCTGTCCGAAGTTTGGGAAGCTGAGATGGACAATGGTAGGAGGGAATGTGTGAACTCAGAAGGAGGTGTGGTTGTGGGGAGACTGTGGGAAAGTTAGAGAGGGGGTGTCTTTGAGGAAATGAAGAAAAATTGGAAGTTAAGGTATCCGGTGGCAGTGGTGAAAAGTGCTGGGAAGCTGAAAGGCTAGAGGTTGGCCAACTTCAATTGGGCTGTGACTTCAGAGTAAATTTAACTGACTTCAAAGTAAATTTGAACCTTTTCTTGGGGAGAAGGGTTTATCTGAGCATAATGCTTGTGGTGACTTGGCCTCTGTATTACCATATAGACTTTTATTGAGCACATATTCTGGTTACAGGGACCTGACACCATGGAAATTATTCAGCTTATTTAAGAACAATTTAATCCTGCTCTGATTCATGTTGAAGTCTGGTGCTATTAAAAGTACACAGAATCTCCAGGTTTTTTTTTTTTTTTTTTGTCAGCTGCTTAGATGCCATCCTAATGCTATACAATCCTGATAATAAAAGCACAAATGCTGAAATTAGCTTTTTCCTTTCCCCTAGAATAGATAAACAGGGGTTTCCCATGTGGCTCAGTGGTAAAGAATATGGCTGCAAATGCAGGAGATGTGAGTTTGGTCCCTGGGTTGGGAAGATACCCTAGAGGAGGTAATGCAACCCACTCTAGTATTCCTGCCTGGGAAATCCCATGGACAGAGGAGCCTGGAGGGCTGCAGTCCATGGGGTCACAAAGAGTTAGACAGGGCTTAGCAACTGAATGAAAACAAACAAACAAAAAAGGTGTATGCAAGCCCATAGGCAAAGCAGTAGCCATGCCCTATTGGTTTTTCTTTCCACAGACACATAGCGGTTTACTACATGTATTGCCATTCAGAAAGCTCTAGTCCCCTTCACCATTCCATTTCAGGTAATGGGTCTCCATGCCTCTGGAGACTCCCCATGCTAATGTATCCCCTTTGGCTCCATAACCATCATGTTCCTAAAGCTCACTTTCATCAAAGTCTTTTCTTGATTAAAACAAAATGAAACAAATGGCCAAAATCACACACACACACACACACACACACATACACACACAGTCCTCCCTCAACAGATCTCTCTGTCTGTAGAATTAAACATAACCCTCTGCATGGTACTCAAAATGCCCACAGTGTGGCTCCATTCTATTTCTCCAGCTTGACCTCTAACGGCTTGCCTACATATAACCTATGTGATGCCCAAATGGACTTGCAGCTCTGTTCCAGGCAAGCCCTAGGTTTTCCTCCTTCACTAGCTCTGCCCAGTGTGTGCCCCATCTGACCTGTCCCCCACTGTACATATTCTTCCAGTTCTGTCTCCCACATCTGTCTTTAGAGTGCTTCAGCACCAGCAAGCCTACTACATCCCATTTCCTCCACCACACCTCTGAGGTCATTCTACTATGTTCTATTTACATTTGACTGTGGGCTCCTTGAAGGTACAGTCCCCATCTTAAGAAAGCACCATTTAATCACATGGCCAAGTATGTGCATATACTAGAAAGACCATAATCACGTGGCCATGGAAAACCTTTGTGTCTCTTCTACTTACTAGCTGAGAGACTTGTGAAGAGTTACTTAACCTTTCTGAGCCTGTGTTCCTTTGTTAGTACATTAGCCATAATAGTATCAACCCTACAATATTATGTTAAGGAATTAAATGTCTGTGAAAGTGCCTTTGTTCCAAGTAATTGCTCAATGATGATTCATAGAATCCTTCCCTTCTTACTGCATATTTACTAGATTGGTTTAAGCATGCTAAATACAGCACTAAGTAATTATGGATCCATTTTTCTGGTTCCTAACTCTAGTTATTTCAGGTTTTATACAGATGTAAAAGCTTTTTTCTTCTACACAGCCCCAATAAGAGGATTTACCTTGGCCTAAAAAGTATGGGAAGCATAAGCCCCAAACTTCTGTCCTTGTTGGTCAGCTATGAACATTTTAAAAAATAAACATTCCACTTAAGCTGTTATTCTGAAAAACTGGAGTTTATTGGTCATCCCTGATCCATTTATACACATGAGTTTCTAAAGGTAAATATTACCAACTATGTAGAAGCTGGAAATATAAAGGCAGAAATTATAAGAATGGTGAATCATTACATCATAAAACGTCTGTGTTGGAATGAGGGGCAGAAAACAAGTGCATAGATAATCAGTTGCTGAACACGAAATGCCAGTCAAAAGCATCAAGTCCTAATTTATTATGAAAATATGTGTATACTAAAGTTTCCATAATAACATAGTCAAAATTTATCTTTTGGGAATGGTTAGGGACAAAGGTAATTCTGGATTTTCAGAGATGGGCTGAAGGAAGGGAGGGGTTGGGCTGTGAGATGGACAGAACATGTGGTGGGCTGAGGACAGAAGTACAGGGCAGGAATGAGAGGTGTCGGTTTGGTTCACAGTTCCATTCCCTTTGTTAACAATGCCAAGCAGGATCTTTTCAGCCTGCACAATTGGGAAAGTTCCTGGCAAAAAAGTGCAAACACTCTTTTATTTCCCAGAACTGTAATTCCCATTAAATTGCTTCTCTGGAAAAACAAAGGTTCATTTTACTGTTTTATGGGTGATTTTCTTTTCTTTCAGCTTTACTAAGGTATCATGAACAAAACTTTAGGACAGTGCATATTGTGATGATTTGGAACACATATACATTGTGAAGGGGCTTCCCCGGTGGCTTGGTGGTATAGAATACACCCGCAACACAGGAGCTGCAGGAGATGAGGGTTCAATCCCTGGGTGGCAAAGATCCCCTGGAGTAGGAAATGGCAACCCACTTCAGTACTGCTGCTGCTGCTGATAAGTCGCTTCAGTCGTGTCTGACTCTGTGCAACCCCATAGACGGCAGCCCACCAGGCTCCTCCATCCCTGGGATTCTCCAGGCAAGGATACTGGAGTGGGTTGCCATTTCCTTCTCCAATGCATGAAAGTGAAGTCACTCAGTCGTGTCTGACTCTTCGCGACCCTATGGACTGCAGGCTACCAGGCTCTTCCGTCCATGGGATTTCCCAGGCAAGAGTACTGGAGTGGGTTGCCATTGCCTTCTCTGACCATTCTTGCCTGGAAAATTCCATGGGCAGAGAAGCCTGTACAGTCCAAGGGGTCACAAAGAATTGAACACGACTGAAGCAACATAGCATTCATACATACATTGTGAAAGGATTTCCCCTCTCTCCCATCTAAAATTAATGTATTCATTACTCTTTTATCAGAGATTTTATTTGATCACAAAGCTTGAAGATTTTCTTGCTGTTTAACTCTTGGTTCCTTTTTTGTAAAAAAATGAGGACTACTGCAGTACTAAGAACAATGACAGTGGCTAGACCCCATAGGGTTACTGTTAATAAAAATTTCCAAGGGCAATTTTGTTTTAACCATGGGCCAATTACAAAATAAAGAAGAAATCAGAGAAAAATATTTTCTTAGAACAGAGCAATTAAACCTGGATTTAGGTGCAGTAGTATTTATTCAGAATAATTTTAATGCTGTCATTTTAAAACTTCAGAAAATTCTATTTGAGATAGGAATTGTTGAAACAGTCATAAACAATGGTCTAGTTGGCCAGGGGCTGCTGGGATTTATTCAAAGCATTATTCCAAACTTAACACATAGGTTTTATTCCAAGTTTAAGAAGAAAAAAAGAGCAATCCAAAACACAGATAAGATGAGGGCATATATATATTTTATATGTAAGACTTCACACTCTCAAATACCAGCTTGCTATGGAATTCTGTCTGCTCCTCCTTTGTCTAAACAAACAAGAAACAACACATCTTAGCCAGAGTGGTATGAACAATGATCATCCAGTTCCATCAAAAACTTTTCATTCATTTAGCAAATATTTGAGTTCCTATTATGTGCTGGCATTGAAGAACAAGAAGGAACAAGAGACAGTCTTCTCCTTTGAGAATCTCATTGGCCACTGGAGATAGAGACAAATAATCAGACATTTAGAATGACCTGTGCTAAATGTCATGATGAGGATGAGCACAGGGTACTCTGGGAGCATGGGAATGGCCACCTGAGTCCATGTGCTCCCAGGGGAAAGCTTTGATGCTGGATAAGAACTTAGCAGAGGAAGCAGAGGGAGAAGTAGCCTCTAGAGACAGAACGACCTAAGCCAAGACAGAGACGTATGAGAGAGAGAGAGAGCACTTTGTGTGACTGTGGCACAAATGTAAGGCTGAGAGGGATGGTGCTGGACAGGTGGTTCTGAGTATAAAAATTTAAATAAATACATTGTGGTAATGATGTTCTCTTTGTTTAAAAAAAGGGCAACTTTAGTTCCTTAACTGCATTGAAATGTATTTTGTCGAGACAAAATATAATTTTTCTCCCAGTTCTGTTTGGCTACATATATGTATGTTTTAAAATACTTGTTCTCCTTGGAGAGCAGTACATGACAGACAGATATAAATTTTGTACTAATGTCCATTACAGTTTGATCATCAATCATGTAGCCGATACCTGCCTTTACCAGTTGACATATGCTGGGAAGTGGAGAATGCCTGTTGATAAACCAACTCTTCCTCTGGGAGGTGAGTTTATTCTTTGAAATGGGGTGTGGGAGGGTTTGAGCATCTAGACACAGTTTGGGAGGGAGAAAGTGGTATGGAACCTTTGGGTGAACTGAATCTCCATTTCCTACCTTTTTCTCTGGTGACCTCGCAGAAGAGTCAAAGGACGGGGGGAAGTCTGCTCCTTTCCTGGGCTTCTGTGTATGTGTGCTCATTTTCTCAGTTGTGTCTGACTCTTCTGCAATCTTATGGACAGTAAGTAGCCTGCCAGGCTCCCCTGTTCATGGAATTTTCCAGGCAAGAATACTGAAGTGGGCTGCCATTTCCTATTTCATGGGCTTATCACATCCATAAATACCACATTTACCAAAAGACAAAGCTGTAAGAGGATGGCTAAATAGCATACAAATCATTTCCATCCTGAAAACATGCCAATGCTTTAGACCTCGACTTTCCTGCACAGACTTTGGCATCATAGTGTCTTTTCTCCAACTATCCTGAGAAATTCTAGACTCTGAAAGGTTCCTTTGCACCAGTTAAGCAAATCATCATTTATTTAACCAACCTCCGTCTCCTTTAAATGACTTTCATTTTTCTTTTGTCCTGGTTATTTTAAAATGACAGGTAAAAATATCTGTTCTCAGAGCTGTATGAGATAAAAATGTTTGCCCTGAAGGGAATAAACTCTTGATTTAGCTAAAGTTAAACAGTATATCTAAAATAGAAATACAGTATTATAAAAAATTAAAATCTGACAAATCCACTGTGAGAGTATATTTCCTCTGCTATAATATGTTTTATGCAGAGTCTTTTAAAAAGCAAACAAAATAAGGCAAATTTGGTAAATGGAACCGAAGAATGAAGAGGCAGAACAGAAAAACATACTTATTTTGAGACCAGGGTGATGTCCTAAAAAGAAATTAGTTCCTGTTAGTTGGCCAAAGAGAAAAATGCTAGACTTCTGTCTCTCCTGCATAATAGGATCATAAGGGAAGTGTCTCTCAGCTGAACAGATCAAGAAACCTACATTTTCTGCAAGATTTGGAAGAAATTTCTCTTCCCTATTAGTTCTTCTTTATGAACTTTTTGATTAATTGCTATTAAGCACTGTAGTAACTGCTTTGTATAACTCACATTATCATCACAGCTAAAAAGACAGGCACTATTATTAGCCTCATCTCACACATGAAGAAACTAAGGCTCAAAGAGGCCAAAGATTTGCTCAAGGTCACAGAGCTAGTAAGTTGCAGAACCTTTGCCAGTTTAATGACAAAACCTTTCTTCTGGACGTTTATATACTATGTATGCTAACTTCCGTTGCATGCATGCTAAGTCGCTTTAGTTGTGTCTGACTCTTTGCAATCCTATGCACTGTAGCCCACCAGGCTCCTCTGTCCATGAGATTCTCCAAGCAAGAATACTGGAGTGGATTGCCATACCCTCCTCCATGGGATCTTCCTGACCCAGGGATCAAGTAAATCCACACCTCTTGTGTCTCCTGTATTAGCATCACCTGGGAAGCCCTGATACTTCCCTTGAAAAAAATAAATCTAGTAGCAAAGCTTAATTCACTAAGAAGTGAGAAACCACCTCCATGTAAAGTATTCTCAAGTACCTCACGGAATTCTAAGCAACCTAATACAGCTATCCTATCCCTGTTCTCCTCCATCAAGAAGCACTCTACTCCCCACTGGGGACAGAGAATAGCAAGGACAGAGAGCTGAAGCTAGTACCTTTTCAAAGCATGCTGCTCCCAGGGTATCTCAATGTGTCACCTTGTCAATGAACAACAGTCCGTCTCCCTTCACCCCCACCCGCCATGTAACCCAACTTACTCCATGGAGTCAATGATTTTTTTTGGCTCTACAGGACATGGATAGATGACTTCATCAATGTGCTTCAGGTTACAGTTTGAAAAGGCAGTAGAAATGTGTATGAAGGCCTCCAGCTTCGGCATCTGACTGGCCATGAGCAAAAGCTGCTGGGTGGCAGTGACGTTGAGCTGCACAGCATGTCTGCAGAAGGTTAGGCAGGAGGAAATACAGTGAGGCAAGTCACATCCCATTTTGCTGGAGCTGCACCTACTTCAGTAACTGGCATATCCATCTGCTTTTGTGGCTGCATCGAAGGACCAGGAAGAAAAGTATGGGTCATGGCCACACAGTTATATGATATTTGGAATACGTTATATGTTGATGATGTCTTTTGTGCACATAAATCCTGTGATACATGTTACATTTAGAAGTCATCTGATTCTAAATCAACTGGAAGGAAAGAAAATCACAATCCTCTGAATTTATACAGGGACTTCTTAAGCAGCCATTAAAAGAATAAAAAACATAAATTAGGCATCTAACTTAAGTTAGAAAATTCAAATAAACTAGAGGAGAGCAATGGTGAATATAGAATGAGAAATATGTTTCTATTGCAAAGGTATAGGTCAGATATAAAAATTGATGTCAACAGAGAACAGGTGAAGTCGCCAAGGGGGAAAGAGGTGGGGAAGGGATGAATTGGGAGTTTGGGATTAGCAGATGCCAACTATTATTTATAGGATGGATAAAGTACAAGTTTCTAAAGTATAACACAGAGAACTATATTCAGCATCTTATGATAAACCATAACATAAAAGAATATAAAAAAGAACGTATACATATATATGTGTGTATATATATATAACTGAATCACTTTGCTATACAGCAGAAACTAAAACCACATTGTAAATCAACTATACTTCAGTTGAAAAAATGATGTCAAAACCCTACATTTTACCTAATAGAACACAAAGCTGCATAAACATATGGATATGATGACATTGAAGTAATTCTTTTTCTAGAAATATGTTTCATACAAAATTAGGAAACCTATTACTCTAACTCAAAAAAAGGAAAAAATATGTGATCATGTGTACATTTATATATAGAAAAATTCTAAAATGCATTCAATACCCATTTCCAGTTCAATTTTTTTAATTTCACTAAAAGAAGAAGAAAATGATTTAAAAATATATATACTTCAATTTGATAGCCTGTGTCATGCTTAATGGTTCAAAGTAAGGAGCACTGGTTTTAAAGTCAGAGTCAAGAAAAATGCTCACAATCACTACTGCTTAACACTGCTCTGAAGTTGCAGCCTTATAATTAGAGAGGAAAATAAAGTTAATAAACATCATCACTGCAAAGCCAACCATAAAATCACTATCAGATTATATAACTGTATATCTGAGAAAAAACAGAAGCAACTGGAAAAAACTGGGGTGAACAATAATAGTTCAATAATGTGTTCACTTCTAAAAGTTATGTGAAAAAATCACTAGCTTTCCTGTATAGAAACAAAAATTAGAGTCTACAATGGAAGAATGGCACATAGTCAAAAAAAGAACATTTAAAAGATATCAAATTAATAAGTAGGCTCTATATAAAGAAAATTATGAAACTTCATTAAGGATCATAAGAGAAAAATTGTATCATAAGAGATATACATTGTTCTTGGGTAAGAAAAGTCAATGTCTAAATCATGCTATTTTTCTAAATCAATCTACATAGTCAAGGTAATCTCAATCAAACTCACAACCCTTAAACAAACTTGGCAGATTTATTCTAAGTTTAATCAAGAGGTGAGAATAGTCAGGAAAATTCCTTAAAAAGAGAAAAATGTGTGTATACTTGTCTAATAAAATAAGAATAGTAGTCATTAAAATATTGTGGTACTGGAAAAGAAAGTCTAATCAATGGAATGCTTTAAAAAAGGATTGAGAAAGAGGCATTTAATATACTATTCTCTTTTAAACAATAATGTGAAAATAAATAATTTAATATGTTTAAAAAGTAACCATCTGTTAATGTTAAAAAAATACTGTACATCACACACATATCACTCTTATTTTTATAGAGTTTTCCTATTATTCTTTAGAGGTAAGTAAATTTTAAATGAGTCAGATTTAAATGTAAACATGGAACAGTTTAAATACTAGAAAAAATTATGAAAAACTGTAAATAATAAAAACAGAGCTGAGGACAAATGATAAACTGTTAAAATATTTTGAGCCTTATAAAAGATGAAGAGTTGATATGCTAAATCTTCCAAGAAGCCTTAAAACAGACAAAAAAAGAATGTTTCAAGAGAAAAATAGGTGAAGAACACAAATAGGCATTTCACAAAAGAATAAACTGTCAGTCAGCATTTAAACATTCTCAACCTTTCTGATTATCAAAGAAATAAAAACCAAAATATGCAATACTATTTCCATTTTCATATTGACAATGATAAAAAGAATTAAAGAATTGTAGTATGGTACTACTGTGTTAGAAATGAGCACTCACATGCCCAAGAACAGTGTAAATTCATACCACCTTTTTGAAAAGCAACTTAGCATTATATGTCAAAATATAAACTGTTCATAACCTGGACATATCTGGCATGTGTCTAATAATTCTACTTTTGGGAATTTACCCAAAGGGGAAAAATGTATATACACAGATGTTCATTGCAGAACTGTTTATAACAGTGAAACATCTAAGCAATGTCCCTCAGTACAGAACTGCTTGAGTGTATTATATACATGTACAGTGGGATGCCACATAGTCACTACAAATGATAATAAATTATCAATTGACAATGAAAGATATCTAAAAATAAAACTGAACAGGTTGCAAAAAACATCATTTCATTTTTTGGAGAAATTGAACATACGTCTCTTTTATTACAGATGCATAAAGAAAAGTTGAAATGGATGGTCTTCACAATATTAAATGGTTATCTGTGGATGGTAAGATTCTAGAAAAGATTTACTCCTTTGTTTTCATTGAGAATATCTCTTTTTTTAAAAGAGAAGTAATGAAGAAACTTACACATATGTGTGCACACACACGTGTAATACAAGTCACAAAAGGGGACTTGGACTGTACCTGAGGTGGTCATCAAAGCGCACGGTAGCGGCACAGTGGAAGATGATGTTTGTGTGTGAAAGAAGCTCCTGCACGTCCTCCTTGCTGATGGCAAAGTCATTCTGATTGAGGTCTGCAGAAATAGCTCGGATCTTCTCATGCACGTTTGGACAAACTTCTTTGACTTTTTCAAACAGCTAAAACATATAAATCATCAAAGATCATCATCACCAACAATGTTCTTATTTTCACTGACATTTCATTTTAATTCACAAAAACTGGTTGTTAGCTGTAATAATATGACTCAGCCATCTGCTATATTACATGCAATTCAAGGTCAGCTTAGAATAATTCTTGCTCCTCTTAATTTGATAAACATCCAGGAAAAGTCAGTTCCAGTGACCAGTAAGAGTGTATTTTGAACTTTTCCTGGGTGAAGGTCTGGTAGTAAGCCATCCATATCTTGCACCATCCTCTCTTCCCTTCCAAGGCAGCTTCATGTTTAAACATGGTGGTTATTTCCATTTCTGCCTTAGAGATACTGTTTTCGGAGCAAATTCACCAGCCTTTATATACCTTGACAAATTACCAGCAAAATCACCTGCCTTTAAGAAGGTCTCATAAGCACAGGTTCAAAACAACTTGGTTAATTGGACCAGATTTACAAGAGGTCTTAGAAGCAAAAAGATAATTAGAAAAAAAAAAAATTAAGCAAATTTGTAATGGGTAAAACAAATAAAATTTTTATATAATCTCATTCTAATATATAAATGGCAGTTATTGTCTAGTAAGAGGATTACATGAGCTCATGTATTTTTTATTGGATTTTAATTGATTTTTTATTATTCTAATTTATTTATAAAGGGAAAAGGAAAGAGTACTAGCAGATATAGCTTTTTTTTTACAGTTATTCAGATAAAACACAGCGTCTATTTTCCCTTCCACACAGAAGTTCTCAGGTTGAATTGGTATTTTCCATTTTCTCAGAAGATAACAATTTTAATGAAAGCATCTTGGTTCCAATCTACTTTGATAAAATAAAAGTTTATTGTAGTAATGGTTTGGCATGTGGAAAGTAAGGGCAAGAGAAGTAAGGTTAAATGTTTAGAAAGGTTAAGAGCAGAGAAAATTAGGATGTGGTTTTAATACTAATATAGTAGTGGAGACAAACAATCCTGCTCTCCCTTTTAACTCCAAAAGAATGTTTTCATCTGTTCCTTGATCCTTAGCAGAAGGCTTCTTCTTTCCAGTAGAGATTTACCCCAGGCTTCTCTGTTGGATAAGAAGAAGCTAATTTCAGATATTTACAGAAATCATGTCTCATTTGTATCAGGTAAGACCATGTTCAGGGGACATCCTGGAAATTTAATGAAGCCAGCTAGGGAAGGGAATTAAATCCACATACTGACCTGGCAGGGTAATACACATCTGTCTCCAAGCTACTATTTTCCTGCACTTAAGGCCAGCCTTTTTAATACTGTGTTACTATAATCCTGAAAATAATTCTAAAGTTAGGCCACTCTTCAACGCTTTTTCAACATCTAAGATTGATAAAGCAACTCAGGGACATTCTCAACAAAGTTCATGTCAATTCTTTTAAAAGACATTTAACAGCTCTCCAGTCATAATGGATCATAAGCATGCTAATATTTGTTTTCATAGTCAAATGTTTTCCTTTGTGTTGTTGTTGTTGAGTCATTAAGTCGTGTCCCACTCTTTGCAACCCCACGGACTGCAGCATGCCAGCCTTCTCTCTCTTCCACTATCTCCTGGAGTTCACTTAAATTCATGTCCACTGAGTCCATGATGCTATCTAACCACCTCATACTCTGTTGCCCCCTTCTCCTCCTGCTCTCAATCTTTCCCAGCATCAGGGTCTTTTCTGATGAGTCGGCTCTTTGCATCAGGTGGTCAAAGTATCGGAGATTCAGCTTTACCAACAGTCCTTCCAGTGAACATTCAGGGTTGATTTCCCTTAGGATTGACTAATTTGATCTCCTTCCTGTCCAAGGGACTCTCAAAAGTCTTCTCCAAAAAAGTCTTCTCCAGCATCACAATTTTCTTTTGCAGTTCATGCTAATTGTACAACAGACACAGGTTGGATAATTTTGGATAAGTTTATGCCACATTTATACAGTTATCCTCCTTTTTAACAACTGAATCTATATGAGGCTTTTTCTGAGCCGTGATAGATTTCATTCATGAGAAATCTATCTGGGGTTCTGTTGAGCCTGACTTTGGCCCATGGAGACTTCCGGCTGCTCGAGAGCAAGACATGGAAGATGGCCTCAGTGGCTACTCTTCTAGCAATGGGGCTGGTCACAGATGATGCAAGCTGCCATGCAAACATTTTCTGTTGCCTTTGGTTTTTATGACTTTATGTTTTAAATTTTCTTTGGCTGTGCCAGGTCTTTGTTAGGGTGTACAGGCTTTCTCTGGTTGTGGAATGGAGGGGCTTCCCTAGCTGTTGCACTTGGGCTCTCTAAGTCGCCCCATGGCATGTGGGATCTTAATTCCCAACCAAGGATAGAACCCAAGTCCCCTGCATTGGAAGGCAGATTCTTAACCACTGGATCAACAGCAAAGTCCCTGGTTTTTGTGACTTTAAAATTCAGAGGATATTATTAAATTGTACTATACTTTCAGACGACCTGTGCAATGTTGAACAGCACCAAGATACATTTACAGCATTACTGTTTTAGTAGATAATTACTATTTCAGGAAATAAAGTCCCAATCTTCATCCTATTTATGGATTTATATTTTCAAACAAGAGGGGATATCTGAATGAACATAATATAATTCAAAAAGAAGTTTCAGTATTCTGATTGAGGTGGTATTGATTACAATCCATTGGCATAAATCAATGAATTGGCTGCATCAACTGAAGCCACATTAATAATTAGGGTCCTATTTTACTACATTAGCCAGGCCTAATAATATGACCATTACCAAGTGGTCAATACTGAAATCAGATTGATTATGTTCTTTGCAGCCAAAGATGGAAAAGCTCTATTCAGTCAGCAAAAACAAGACCAGGAACTGACTGTGGCTCAGATCATGAACTCCTTATTGCCAAATTCAGACTTAAATTGAAGAAAGTAGGGAAAACCACTAGAACATGCAGGTATGACCTAAATCAAATTCCTTATGATTATACAGTGGAAGTGACAAATAGATTCAAGGGATAAGATCTAATAGAGTACCTAAAGAACTATGGATGGAGGTTCATGACATTCTACAGGAGGCAGTGATCAAGACCATCCCCAAGATAAAGAAATGCAAAAAGGTAAAATGGTTGTCTGAGGAGGCCTTACAAACAGCTATGAAAAGGAGAAGTGACAGGCAAAGAAGAAAAGGAAAGATATAACCATTTGAATGCAGAGTTCCAAAGAGTAGCAAGGAGAGATAAGAAAGCCTTCCTCTTTTTAACGGCTGAGTAATATTCCATGGTGTATATGTACCACAGCTTCCTCATCCATTCATCTGCTGATGGGCATCTAGGTTGCTTCCATGTCCTGACAAGTGCTCAGGCCTGGTGCACTGGGAGGACCCAGGGGGATGGGGTGGAGAGGGAGGTGGGAGGGGGGACTGGGATGGGGAATGCATGTAAATCCATGGCTAATTCAATGTATGACAAAAACCAGTGCGATGCTGTAAAGTAATTAGCCTCCAACTAATAAAAATAAATGGGAAAAAAAAAAAAAAAAATAAATAAATAAATAAATAA